TTGATATTGTTGTATTTCAGATGATTTTTCGGCCGAACTCATTAAAGAAGGAGCCAGACAACGCCTTGAAACTACAACAGAACTTCTTAGCAAGAGCACAGACAGCGTACATTGATTGTAGATCTTGTCAAAGATCGCCTTGCATCGTGTAGAGAAGATGAGGAAACTAATATTGAAGATACCCGGGATGATGTTGAAATGAAAACCGAACTCAAGGAGTCAGGTTTGTAATGTTAAAACAGATCGGCCATTGTTCGCGCATTTACGAAATGAACAAATTATCTGCCAACATTTTAGACAGCGCAGAACAAAAGATGCTGCTTACAGAACACGGCAGATCTTCACCCTCGTCGATTTTATTACAAGATTCCGGTCAAAAGTTGAATCTTGGTTCGGCATTTCTTCAACGAACTCGATATTTGAGTCGTAGTCCGAGATATGGACCAAGCGCTTTTATGGTAAGAATTTCTCTTCAAACTCGCTTTGCATGAAATTTATTTCGTGCAAGAACATTCACTATCCATCCCTTACATTGCTACTAACATGACTGGCAGGGGAAGCAGAAAAGAAAGAGATCTTTGATTTAGACTAGCTTTTTCATTTTACAATCGTTTCAGATTGATGTCGTACCAGATTCCAAAGACACTGTTTTACACAAGGAAGAAACTGAAGGCAAGCGAAATTACCTTTGCAATATGGAGGAAATATATATTATAATATGACTATATTTACTATTTTTCTTTCACAGGGAACAGTCAAGGTTTATTAACTCGTGAAGAGTTTCAAAAGGTAGCAATTTTAAGATCATGAATCATCATCGTGCATTAATCTCAACATCTGTTAAATTTTAGCCTGTTCCTGGTAAATCCCTTCCGGATGCAAGTGCTTTGAAAATTTTTTTGAGTTAAGACGAGGATAAACTTAATGAATCCGTAAGTCAAGTAATAATAATGATAAATTGGTCTTACGGATTATTAAATAGTGAGCATTATAAACCGGTAAACTCAGAAACCGGTAATCTCAATTTTGCACTTCGAATTACGTAATTTAATCCTTGTGGTTGAAGGTGAGGACTTGCAACGTTACTTATTTATTACAGGGTGACGATAGCGGGGAATTCAGGGGTCGGTAGACTTAGGGAAAGACACTCGTAATATAATAGATTTTACAAAATATATCCTTAGGTTTTCCTATGAGTTACAATAAAACCTTTACAATTGCTCATTGATGAGCTCAGAATGTTTCGTTATCACGTGGCCTATGCACGACTCTTAATGGTTACTGTTAATCTGTTGTAACCACCTGCTGTACTGGTACGATGATTATCACTTTATGTTTGAGCTTTACATACCCGGGGAAAACACTCAGCCACGTCGAGGTTATTAGCTAATTCCAACAGCTTGTCGTAGTATTCATTGTGGAATAAATCTACAGAGGCACGTAGTTTTGCCATTTCATCCTTTAAAACATTAATCTGTTTTATTGATTCCGCAATATCGATTTTTTTTTCTTCTTTAATTGGACCGTCAATGACAAAGTATGATCCAGAACATGTTGGGTGATAATGAGAGCAGCCATAAATTCAAATTTCTCCACGTTGCAAAAATGAGACTGTGCGTCACTAGCTAATCTAGGAAATGGCTCTTCCTGCGATCCTCCAAACTGCATAAAATTGAGTGTTTCGTAGATAACTTTGAATGCATCCAAACAACCATCGCGGGATCTTATTCGTTCTACCTATCGTGTCGTGGAAGGCTTTGCGAGCTTGTTACGGGTTAAACCAAACTCTTTCATCTTTTTACTTAGATACTGTGAGCGGATAGGGAAACTGATAAAAAAGCTGGCGATATTTTGTGCCTGACTCAACATATTTTTCACTGGAAGAATTGAACACGCTTTGGCAACAATAAGGTTTAAACGATGACTGGAGTAATGAACATGCAACGCCTTCGGGTTTTTCTCTAATATTCTCCCAGAAATACCTTTTACCTGGCTGGACACAGCACTAGCACCGTCATATCCCTGGCCTCGACAATTTTGAAGGGAAGCCCGACATCTTGAAGTGTACTTTGACTAATGAACGGAATCAAATCCAAAGGCGAAACAGTTCGGTATACAAATGAAAATGTTCTTGAATCATGTAAAACTTTAAATTTATTCAAGGTATGTTATATAATTAATAATGCATAATATATTTTCGAAATATTATAAATTTGAACTTAAAATCAGTGTCTACCGTCTACTTTTTTGCATATTATAAAAGTAGCAAGCAAATTCAAATGACCATAAACCCGGCATTATTTTAGAAATTCGAAATTTTGACAGGATATAATTTTGTAGTTTTGATAGTTTATAAACCCCAACAGCCAAACAATTTTATGATACTTATCCCTATATTGATCATTAAACCCTATAGAATGTATTAAATTATCCAGAAAGTATAAGCTTGGAGTTATCATTAAAAAGTGCCTTGCACCAGGTGAACTATATTTATTCAAATCTATTTACTAATTATTGTATTTTACTAATTTTGTATTTACTAATTATTGTATTTACTAATTATTGTATTTTACTAATTTTTTATATACTCATGTGTATGTTTTAATGATAATAATATAACAATAGAGTTGATGTTCGCGGTCATAAATGTGTTTTTGGCCCGACTTCGAACTCATTTTAGCCCGAGCGTAGCGAGGGTTACAATGTGTTCCGCGAGGAGGGCCAAAAACACATTTATGCCCGCAAACATCAACTCTATTACTATAATATATAATAAACTATAAACTATTATTACTATATATGTTCAACATCGTCAGCCTTCATCCCCTTAGCTCAGTAAGTCATGCGACATTCCATGTCAGTTCCAGTAATTGTTCATCTCAGACCTTGAAAGAAAAAAAAACAAACACTCCAAACACTCCAAACACTCCAAACACTCCAAACACTCCAAACACTCCAAACACTCCAAACACTCCAAACACTCCAAACTCTCCATGTCTTCTGACCTGGATTCAAGTTTACTGCTTTTATCATCTTTTTTATTTCACGTTTCCATTTTGAACATGTCCAATTGCAAAAAAGTATCCAGCCGACTTAAAATAGTTTTATTTTTGCAGTTACTTTCCAGAATATACCGTTTGGTTAAGACTTGTGTATTATAGTATATCATAGTTTTAAAACTTCTTTTTCTGTCAGATATTTTCAATAATTAGCTATCGAGACCATCCTCAGTTGTTCGGGCTGGAATACACAAGCGGTCAGCTGAGAAATTACTCGTCTCCCGACAGGTAGTTTAAAAAAGCAGATTTTGTATGAAGCTATATAAAATATTTCTTGTTCTGAATGTTTGTATTTCACTCAATCTAGGGACATATTATTTGCTGGTTAGCTACACGGGGTTAGAGGCGGTGGAAATGGAGATGTTTGTGTAAAAACGACCCCAACGAAGAGACGGTACTGTACGCTTTTTCATAGATGATTGAGCGAAAATTATGGTCAAAATTTTCCTGATGAAAATCTCGCACTGCTATGATTGCCGTAAATACGAACCCTCATTTCATTCTCCTCCTGACGTATGGGATCTTATATAACACACAAACAATTACACTTCTCCTCAGGTATTCCTATTATTCAGTCCAATACATCACATACAGCAAAAGAAGAAGATTTTTTTTTAAGATGATATATTTTTCAAGGTTATCGTTCGGGTCCATTGTATAACGTTGTTGACGAAGAAGTAGAAAGCATTCCTTTAAAGTGTATATGCAATGAAAATTTCGCTTTTGGGTTTTTTATATTTTCTGAAAATTTGTTCTTTCCCCATCATAAAGATACCAAAATTGTCGACAAATTCGGACTAGAAGTAAGAAAAATTTAGGCTCAAAGTTGGGCTATGAAAATAAAAACTGTCAAAATTCCTCACGCGGCCAAAAGGTCGTGATGACGTATGCAGTGTGACACAGTGCGCTCTTCCTATTTAGAAATACTATAAACATTGGAGCGTCTACCACGTAAAATCGCAATATTTTTGCACTTTGATGAGCTCCCAAAGAAATATGCGTCTTGTAGATGCAGTGTATTGGTCAAGTGAAGACCATCATATCAAAATACATCAATTTTTACTTTTTAATCACCTATATAAGCGGCCGAATGTAGCTTTGAACATTTGAACTGTAGACATTTTCGTAGGTATCTACAGGGACAGTTTTTATATTTATAATCCGTGTAATTAATATTGGCTTAGCGGACGCACGGACTTCATTTCGTTGATTTAGCAAACTTTGTATAATATGTTATTCTGTAAACTTAGGTAGATTTATAGACATCCCCGTTTGCCTGACGTTTCAGTATTTTGACATGTCCTAGCTGTTTTCGTCTATTTGTGGTGATTAGATGCGCTGTATCGGTATCCTGTTTACGCGCAATTTATTCCTTAGTCATTAATTGCGGTTGCTGCGTCAGTATGGGTATACGCACTTATACTAGAATATTAGTTGTTACTGGGTAGATATATAACCACAAAAACCAAGGTGGTGTGCGCAAATCCTGAGGGCGGATTTCCACTGTCGCATTTCCACTGCCATCACATCTGCGCATTCACGCAAAAGCCCTCTATAAAAACTGCGCAGCAACAATCATTATTCATTTTCCATCGAACGCGATCGAGCAATGGCTTCAAGCATAAAAAGGGCGAAAAGGGGTAAATACTGTGTTTGTGGAGGTCCTGGATTGCGCAGTTGCACAAATACCTATCACGTTGAAGGGATATCAATGCACAAGTTTCCCGAGAACGAGGAACAGCGGAAAACTGGATAAAATTCGTGCGAAGACATCGGCCAAATTTTGTTCCAAGCAAATCGTCAGTTATATGTTCCACGCATTTCGAGAAATCTTGCTTCGCAACAAGGTATCATGTTGGGGTGCCTGACGAACTCAAACCAAAAGCTAGATATCTAACACCAGGGTCTGTTCCAACTAAAGATACTGTCATCCTGGATGAAATGCCAACTACTTCACGTGCTAAAAGAAGGGTGAGTCTTTTATTCAAACAACTTGACAAAAAATATTTGAATATTTTTTTGCGTGTTGAATATTATTTGTTATATCAATCTCTTTTTATCAACAGATAATACGGCACCAGTTATCACCGCTATCGGGTGATTCCAACCAAGACGAGGAAGAGCACACAACTTCAGATGAAGATGAAGCAGATAAAATTGAATTAGATGAAATGCCTACACAAGAGACAGCATGCGAAAGTCCGATTCTTTCTGACAATCCAAATGAAGAGAGTTTTATATCCGAAGATCAGGAATTGCTTCGGTGCACCAAATGTGATCTGGAAAAAAAAAACTAGAGAACCTTCAGAGAGTACGTTCTGTGCAAAAACATCGCCTTTTAAAGAGAAAGCGGCAAATAACAGCATTAAGGAAGGAGAGTAAAAACCTCAAAAAGGTTGGTTCTAAGTTACATGATTACTGTGAAAGTGATACTACAGTCTCACATGATTATTTTAGGGCTTGTTGAAGTGAGTTCTTTAGAATGAGCTACTATAAATATTTTGTATATTTTTCTAAGATCGTTGATCTTTGCGACAGAGATGTCCTCCAGTTCGTCTGAAGACGAGAGTAGAAGTAACTACGATTCCGACGAAAACAAAACTGGTGAAGATATAGGCATCTTGGATGAGGCTTTGGATGATGAAGATGGATCACTGGCAAACAGCTCTGAAGGTGAATTGATCGATAATTTTAGAGATCCAGATTGGAATGCCAATATGGAGGATGAAGAAACAGACTCGTCAGCTGATGATGAGCTCGAAGACGATGGAGAGGAAGTACGAGAGGGCACATCACAAGATGCAAGGTAGATTTTTATATACACGCAGCATCAGTGAATAATTCATAAAATACTTTGAAAAATACGGAAATATTATTTCGACATATTACTACTGTTGTTTTTTAGATTAGCGGATACAGAGCCAAAGTTTATAGTTTTTTACGTATGTGGTTTCACTGTTTTCATTGTTCTGCTTTCACTGCAAGACCGAATCGCCAAGTGTTGACATAAAAGTTCGTGGAACAATGGCAATAGTGGAACAAAGATGTAAAGCATGTAAAGGATCTTACACGTGGAGAAGCCAACCGTTAGTGTTAGGAAAACATCCTGCTGGCAAATTCTGCTGAGCTTCGCAATTCTCATGTCCGGATCCTCTGTTAGCAAAGTTCTTCTACTCTTCAGGCACTTAGGACTTTAAATATACTGCGCGAGAACCTTTTTCTATCATCAAAGAAAATTTATCTTTCCATTGATACTACAGTATTGGGAAAAATCTCGAGGTATTTTATTAAGCCAGTTAAAAGAGATAAAAGACAGTGTTTGGGCTGGAGACGGTAGATTTGATAGCATAGGACACAGTGCGAAATATGGATGTTATACCATGTTGAATTGTAATTTAACTAAACTGGTACATTTCGAACTACTTCAGGTATTGTTTTTATCTAAATATGGCTTTTGCAGTTCTTTATATTATGACTGTTTTAACCACGCAAACACCAAAATTGGTTATAGGCTAACGAGGTTGGAAGCAGCAATAAAATGGAGTTAGAGGGGGCCAAACGCTTGTTTGACGCAATAAAAGGCAAGGAAAACCTTCCAATTAACACATTTGTATCCGATCGTCATCGTGGTATAGGTAAGTGGATGAGAACCATGCAGAGAGATACCACTCATTACTACGACATATGGCACCAGGCAAAGTCTACGGTGAAGAAGGTTTTAAATGCTAGCAAGGAGAAGGGTTGTGAAATATTAGCAGAATGGGCTAAATCCATCAAGAATCATTTATACTGGTGTGCTACATCTACCAAAGCTGGGTTTTCATCTCTCATAGAGGCAAAATGGTTGTCATTTATGAGGCATGTGAATAATGAGCATGACGGGCATCCAAACGCATTGTATGACAAGTGTCATCATGGTGATATTACAGAAACTAAGAAGTGGATTAAAGTTGGTTAGTAAAAACTTACCACTATTCTTTCAAGAATGTGTACAAAATAATTGAGTAGGTTTTTTAACTTACATTTTTAGGATCAAAACCCTATCAGAAGCTAAATAATATTTTAACAAAGAAAACCCTTGTAAAAGACATTAAGAAGCTTTCACCCGTAGTCCAAACCAGCTCATTGGAAGGGTTTCATTCAGTGCTAAATCACTGGCATCCTAATATGATATGCTTCTCATGGTTGGGGACATACTGCAGGTATGTACAAATGAGGTACCTTACTTCCAATTGGTATGCTCAAAACAATTGATATTTTATTGTTTTCATTTAGACACATCCTAGCATGCCTGCACTTTAATGAAAATGTCCACTGAGAGACCAAAACCTCAAAAAAAGGAACTCCTTATATCAGAGTAACATACCCAAAGTTCAAATTAGGGGAAGAAATGGTCAGGGAGATTGCTGTCCCAGCAACATATGGTATGTAAATGCTTTAGTGAAGTGTCATAAATCCTTGTATAATTGCTGTAACACATGTTCTGTAATATTTTGTTGACATTTTCTTTAGGTTATGTAGATGAAATGCGCAAAGATCTCCTATATAATTGCAACAAGGCAGATCTGAAAAAAACATATGACACACACAAAGCTAAAGAACTAGATTCTCTAACAAGCCAGTTCTCTAATCGCAGAACTAAAGAGGAAGCTATTAGAAACCAGGCACAGAGAAAAGGGAAAACAACTAAATTATTTCCTTCAGGTAAATCTTGGTATATATTTCCAACCTACAAGACCTCTTGTATTTCATTGTAAAACTGATTGTTCTCTCTGATCTAACAATTTTATGCCTATAGCTAAATTTTACCATAACCATGTGTCAATGGTGCATTTCATAGGTAAAAATTAGACATTATATACTTAATTTAGTTGAAACTCAAGAAACATTGATCAGCAGGGAAAAGGCTAGCACCAGAAAAAAACAGGGGCAAAAGCGCAAGGCACCATGTTGCAAAAAATGTGGAGAGCCAATGAAGGGGCATCAAAAAGGTACTTGTCTAATGAATTCAGCTCATCAACAACAGAATGATTAAAGTTTAAAAAATATGTAAGTTATTTTAATTGTAATATATGTAATATATTTTTATATACAATAAAACGTTTATACCTAGATTATGTATGCACAAGTGCCTTTTATCTTGTTCTCTGTTGGGATGATTTATAGCCAGTTGTACTTGGGGATAAATACCTCTTCCTGATTTCATTATACAAGCATGCAGGAAGAGGTCTAGAATTTTCCCACCCAAGCATACCAAATAGCCAACGCACCACCCATCTGTATGCCACTGCTCGAAGATATCTATTATAAAAATAATCAAACAGAGGGTTGTTTATAATATATACATTTGGTAGTTTACCCTTTTCACTTAGACTAACAAAGCATTGCTTTATTATGAATGACTCAATGAGTGCAACCAAATCAATCCTTGTAATATTTACTGAGATAATAGAAATGGAACATCATAGCTCGCACAGGCTAAGATAAAATAAAACCGTATAAAACATAACGAAACAGTTTGACTTACTCGTTTTGCCTATCTTGAGTTCTGCTTGCTGGTTTGTGGTATTTTTTTCCAGTTTTATCAGACAAAAAGGCTCCAGCAGTTTCCAATACAGTCCGATGAGTTATAACAGGGTAGTCCCAGTGCCGAGTTATGCAATCTGCATCTTTTCCGTCGTTTGTGAACTTTGCCATACACTCTAAAATCTCTTTACAGCACCGGTACTCCCTAGCGTCATCCAAGAGAGCATCACTACAATGCCCACATGTACACCTATTATAAACATTTCGTTTGTCAAACGAAGCAGAATATGAGGAATAATTTAACATTAAATTGTCTTACTTACCACGAACTGACTGCAACAGTTTTTTCGAATCGTGCTTCGAGCGTTTCTCGCAAAATTCCGTCTTCGTCGGTTTGATCTTCTTCGTAATCGCTATCAGCAACCGGCTCAAACTGATAGGGCTGTACAACAGACGACTGTTCAGCAACATCTTCGCTATCTGTCGACTCTTCTTCTGTATTTGTCTGTGATTCAAAGCTTTCGTTATCCGACATTTCGTGTCTCGCAATCAGTAATGTTTTGTTGTTTTCATTCAGCCGAGCTGTTGCTGTGTCACACTGCATACGTCACAAGTCCGAAACTATCGGTACCAGTCTTTCAACAGTTTACGATTGAAAAAACGCGTAAATCTCGTATGTTTTAGGCCGTTTTGAAGACTTTAGCAGCGCTTTTACAACCAAAAAATATTTTTACCGAGTCAAGCGCAGTAAAGTCTTTCGGAATTTCACAATTTTAATTTTTAATTTTTCCTTGCATATACACTTTAAAATTCCTCGCTGCGTCTCCAGGTGAAATATTTCTCTGTTTATTTCACTTTAAATTTTTGAAATATCTCCAAAAGCTTATATTGTCTTATTACTGGTTCCTTGCAGGAAATTTAACCGAAGATGTGTAGAGATTTAACTGCAATATTTCCTACAGCGGTCTACTTCATGCAGTCACCCAAGACGTAAGTTGACAATTTCTTATTTTGTACTTTTCTGCAGACAAAATCCTGTGTAGAGAATATTATTGCATTTTTACTGAGTTTTAATGTTCTGTCAAAATCTGGATTAAGGCTGTTTTCCACTCACGTGTTTTTCATACGCACGTTAGTTTTCTGCATATTTTAGTATGCATTAGTTGACCTAGATTTACAACAATAATCGTTATAAAGGAAGCGAGAATAATTTAAATTGGCAAATTGAAGCTTATTATAATCATAACCATGTATGTACGGACTCGAGTTTACTTCATAGTCGATAGCGTGGACAGCAAATGACATTGAAACGTTTGTATGGATATTTCGAAGTCCTGACAGTATAATTAATATCCCGTAGGTTATTTCAAGCAAATATTTGACTAGCGACGTCGAACAAGGCCAGTTAACCGCGTCGTGGATCGTAAACTGACCTCAATACAGAAAGTGGGGACAAAAAGTCCCCACTTTAGCCAAAATACAAAACATTTTGTTCTAGGCCTCTCAGTTCCCGCCTCGCCGCGTATAAGGAACGTTAAGAGGCCTAGGGACTACGCTGCGGTAACTCTGGTTGCTGAGTTGACTGGGTCCGAATCCATGAAATGGTACATTTGAAATTTTCTCGCCAGAAGTACGGCTGGAATATTAAGTCTTTTAAACTCCAATATATATTTCAAACGATTTTAAATATTTTGTAAGGACTTTTCCCGGAGAATAAAGAAAGACTTATCATTAATGCCATCACAATGCTCATTGCTCACGAAGGTATATCTTTGCCAATAAATATATTTAGTGTTTAACCCTAAAATATACATATTCTGACTGCTATTACCTTCACAGGTGTTCAATATATACATAAAATAGTTAAAATGTCTCGTCTATTTGCAGGAGACCAAAACAAAATATCAGATAAAGATCTCGAAGCACTGTTTCACGCTTTGAGACATTAGGTTGGATCCAAAGCAGGTTTCACAACACTCACTAGGTGAGAAACGTTTATCTTTAACCATAACACACGCTGTTTACTCAACCAGCTCACTTTCTCTAGACCGTGTTTCTGTTTTGTTTTTACAGCTTCTATGAGGTTGGTGTGAAAACTGTGAAAGCTTTGAAGAGGAATAATGAAGCCGTGACTCACGCCGCTGTCGACATGCTGTGTGCTCTGATGCAGGTAAATAGAGGGCTTTCCTTTAAGCGGCCAAAATGGTCAGACCGGTCATATTTAAATTTAAAATAGGGTATTTCGTTAAGAATATAGTTGCGAAATTTCCGAGCTAGACAGATG